GGGCCTGAGATTGTATCGTTTAACCTGTTACTACACCTGTGAGGTAGACACTTTCATCATTCTCATTCTACATGCAGGAAAGCTAAAGTTTAAAAAAAAAGGCTTCTTGAAATTTGCCCAATGTCACACAAATACCAAGTAGTACAGCTAGGATGAATCTAAACTATCTGATTTCAAACCCCTTACTCTTAATTCTATCATTCCTCACCTGGCTCAGTTAAATATAAATCAGATCACACCATCATGCCCTTGTTGAAAACTTCCACTGGCAATTCAAACTCCCTCCATAGCCTATAATGCCCAACATACACCAACTCCTGACACAACTGTGACTTCATCTCTTGCCATGCTGCCTTTGCTCACTATGCTATAAATTATGTGTATTGGCTTTTTTGTTTTGTTCTCTGTTTGAGATAGGGTCTCACTGTCACCAAGGCTAGAGTACAGAGGCCCAATTATAGCTCACTGCAACCTTGAACTCCTGGGCTCAAGCCACCCTCCCACCTCAGACTCTGGAGTAGCAAGGACTTCAGGGTCACGCCACCATGCCTAGCTATTTTTTATTTAATTTTTATTTTTTATGGAGACGAGTCTGGTTATGTAGCCCAGGCTGGTCTTGAACTCCTGGCCTCAAGCGATTCTCCCACCTCAGCCTCCCACAGGTGTGAGCACCTCTGCCCAGCCTGAAACTATGTGTTGTCTCTTATTTGTCAGATATTGTTCTAAGGAATAGAGCTAGAACACAACTAACACAGACAAAAGTCTGTATCCTCGGGGAGCTTGTATTCAAGAGGTCAGCCTGATGTTCTTTAAACATTTTCCAAGCGAGGGTTCTGTACATTTGTACATGCATTGTTCCTCTTACCTGGATCATTCTTCCCAACACAGATGGCTCTTTATCCTTAGCGTCTCTGTTTAAACGTCAACTCTAAGAAAGCCCTTCTCTAACTAACCTATCTGAAAAATAGGGCTTCTGCTTTCAGTCATCCTCTATTCTCTCTCTCTCTCGTTTTTTTTAGATGGTGTTTTGCTCTTGTTGCCCAGGCTGGAGTGCAATGGCACGATCTTGGCTCACTGCAACCTCTGCCTCCTGGGTTCAAGTGATTCTCCTGCCTCAGCCTCCCGAGTAGCTGGGAATACAGCTACTTTTGTATTTTAAGTCAAGACAGGGTTTCACCATGTTGGCCAGCCTGCTTGAACTCCTGACCTCAGGTGATCTGCCCACCTCAGCCTCCCAAAGTCCTAGGATTACAGGCGGAGCCACTGCGCCCAACTCTCTTACTGATTTTTATTGTATTTATTTATTTATTTTTGAGATGGAGTCTGACTGTCGCCCAGGCTGGACTGCAGTGGTGCAATCTTGGCTCACTGCAAGCTTCGCGTCCCGGGTTCACAGGCTCCTGCCTTAGCCTCCTGAGTAGCTGGCACTACAGGTGCCTGCCACCACGCCCAGCTAATTTTTTTGTATTTTTAGTAGAGAAGGGGTTTCACTGTGTTAGCCAGGATGGTCTCGATCTCCTGACCTTGTGATCCGCCTACCTCGGCCTCCTAAAGTGCTGGTATTACAGGCGTGAGCCACCATGCCCGGCCTTTTATTTTATTTTTTGAGAGAGGGTCTCACTCTGTTGCCCACAGTGGCCTGATCATAGCTCACTGCAGCCTTTAACTCCTAGGTACAAGCAATCCTCCCACCTCAGCCTACCTAGGAGCTGAGACTATGGGCACATACCACAATGTTTGGCTTTTTATTTTTTAGAGTCAGGGTTTCACTTATGCTGCCCAGGATTGTCTCAAACTCCTGGCCTCAGGCAACCCTCCCACTTCAGCCTCCCAAAGTGCTAGGATTACAGGCGTAAGCAACTGCAGACAGCCTCTCTTCCTCATTTTTTTCTTCTGAGTATTTTTTTTTTTTTTTTTTTTTTGAGATAGAGACTCACTCTGTCACCCAGCCTGGAGTGCAGTGGCGCGATCTCGGCTCACTGCAACCTATGCCTCCCGGGTTCAAGCAATTCTCCTGCCTCAGCCTCCTGACTAGCTGAGATTACAGATGTGGGCCAGCATGCCCAGCTAATTTTTGTATTTTTAGTAGAGATGGGTTTCACCATGTTGGTCAGGCTGGTTTGGAACTCCTGACCTCAGGTGATCCACCCTCCTCAGCTTCCCAAAGTGCTGGGATTACAGGCGTGAACCACCACACTCAGCCTTCCTCAGAGTATCTATCACAACTTGAAATCATCTTATTTTTCATTTTGTTTACATGCTTATCTGTCCTTCATACTACATAAGCTCCAGAACAGAGACTTTGTTTTGTTCCTGCCCAGTTCCTAAAGTAGTACCTGGCAAAACAGGCCATTGGTGAATATTTACTGAATAAATTAATATCACAACATTAGCTCGTCTTAGGTGGTCTCTGGGCTTCCCATCTTGCTTCATTTAAATCCACCATCTACAACTCTCAGCGTGATCAGATCACTCATCTTAGGTCCTTTCATGACCCTTTTTTCTTACCTGATGAAGAACACACACACAAGACCCTCCATGACAAAGATACTGACCTCATGAGCTGAGAGAGGAAGCAGCGTGTAAGACAGACTTTGAATGAATGGTGTTCAACAGACTGAGAAGAGAAAGGACATTACGGCTCAGAAGCTCAAAAAGCACAATGCTTTGCAACAGTAATTTATGATGTGAAGAGCTGGGTAGGTTGATATAGAAAAACCAGCTGGAAATAGATTTTGAAGATGCTCACAAACCACATTAAAGAGTGAGGATGGTCCGACGCGGTGGCTCACGCCTGTAATCCCAGTACTTTGGGAGGGCGAGGCGGGAGGATCACAAGGTCAGGAAATCGAGACCATCCTGGCTACCACGTGAAATCCCGTCTCCACTAAAAAATACAAAAAAATTAGCCAGGCGTGGTGGTGGGTGCCTGTAGTCCCACTACTGGGGTGGCTGAGGCAGGAGACCATGTGAACCTGGGAACCCAGGAGGCAGAGCTCGCAGGGAGCCAAGATCCTGCCACTGCACTCCAGCCTGAGCAGCAGAGGGAGACTCTCAAAAAAAAAAAAAAGGACTTAAAAGGAGAAAGAAAATATAATAAAAATTAAATAAAAAGAATGACTTGATGCCCAAAGCATGTACAGTCTTAAAAACTTCATAGGAAGGGGAATGATAGGATTCAATGAATGCCTTAGGGGATAAAAAAAAAGGGGGGGGCAGGGTGACAGTGAGGAAAATGGATGGGATAGGAAGAGACAAGAGACAAACACCAGTGAGACTACTTAGTGCGACATAGATCATACTAAAAGACAAAGGCCAGAAACACAGCAGTTGAGATGGACATGAGCAGAAATTCAAAGGAGCCACACTAAACATTCATCTATTTTATACAAATTTAACCTTATATCTAAGCAGGAAGTTTCCTTCAACATGGCCTCTGAACTTAAACCAACGAATAAAACAGTCTCCTAATCCCTGTGGACCTTATTCTTCAACTACACACATTACACAGCTCTTACTAAACAGGAGTGCAGCTAGGATATGTCCGTCTCCTCCAACAGACTGAACAGCAGGTCTTCAAAGGCAGGGAGTGTGTCACATCTATTATTCAACACTCAATCGTTGCGAATGAATAAATGAACGAGTAGAAGACTTTATGACTGAGGATTTGAAAACTGGATAGGCTTTAGGTCTAACAAGGTGATTTCGGGCAAGCGCAATGGTATGAGCAAGTAGGAATGGTAAATGTGGGGAACACAGACACCATTCTAAAATCAGGAGGATGTTGGTCCCCTTGTCCAGACTTGGACAGGCCATGCCTCTTTCCTGTCTAATAGTCTCTCCCTCATCCACCTTTCCCCATTCCGTATCCGCTCATTCCCTCACTTCTTTGAGGTATCTGCTCAAATATCTCACCAGAGGCCTTCCCTGATCAACCTATCCAAAATTTCACAGCACATTCCTTATACCCTCTCTAGGTCTTTGTTCTGTTGTTTTTCTTCTTAGAAGATTATTGAAGAGATCCTCTAACGATTTTTATTCCTCTGTACCTAAAATATAATTGGCTTAAATTTCCAAGTGAAGTTCACTTGTCAGTTACTGCGATCAGAACCTACTAAAATCCACAGGATACTGAGATTTTATACTAAATTCACTGTAAAAATTTTAAGTTCCATCACTTTTAAATTCTGTCACTTAAGTTCTTTCCAATAAAACCTGGATGCCACAAAGAATATTAATTTATTGCGGGAAACATTCCGGACACGGTCAGGAAATAATTTTATATTCCTTAATGGGGAAGATTCTAGGAATGGGAGCAATAATCCATAAAGAAAACCATCGAGATTAAGTAATTTCGAGGAACTACGGCAATTAGGTACCAAACCCAAGATTTTACAAGCATAGACTGTAGAGAGGCAATATGCCTATTTAAATAAGTGGTTTACTTTGGGAAGCCGAGGCGGAAGGATCGCTTGGGCCCAGAAGTTCGAGATCAGCTTGGGCAACAGAGCGAGACCCCCACCCGTCTCTATTAAGGAAAAAAAAAAAAGTGGTTTTTACAAAGTTAATTCCATAGAAGTCAATGACCAGACGAAGCCACGTGTGGCCAGAACAGCCCAGGTGAATCCCAGCCTGAACCACGGGATATAGGCAAATGTGTGCTCCAGGGTGACTTTCTCTTGTCTGCTTTTCCCACGAAGAAGCGGAAAATTCTGCGAAGCGGCAAAATACACTTAAGCTTTTTGGGCCGGAGTTATTCTGGAGAGCAGGGCAAAGGCGGCCAGCAGCGACTTCACACTGCACTTGAGTAAAACAACTACTGGACCCGGGGCCCGAAGACTCATGTTAGCGACAGCCGAGATAGAGGATGGGGTAAAGAAATGCACGCCCAAATTCAAGTCGCCCTGGAGTCCCCATCCGGGGCCCCGCGCCTCCGAGTTCAGGGTCCGCCCGGCCCCGCACGTCCCGCCGTCTCGTCGCTCGGGACATTGGCGTCCTACCTGCAGGCTTGTCTGCAGCCATCTTCCCGCTTCGGCTTGGGTTCTTCCCTGCAGGTGGCGTGGCCCTGACTCCCGCCGCCGGGCTGGCCGCTGTCCTGGACCTATGAGGACAACTCTGTGCCTACCCCGGCTCTGGGCCCTCAGGTTCCGGCTTGGGGAGTGGGCAGACGGCTGGCTGAGGAAGTGACGAGCGCTAGTTCGCGTCGTCTAGCAACAGCAACAGCTTCCCCACCCAGAGAGCGCCACAGCCTCCCGCCATCCACAGCTTCCGCCCCACGGCGTCCCGGTACCCACTACTTCCGGGGGCGGCAGCCTGCCGCGCCTGGAGCGCCGGCGTGGGAACTGCTGCTGGCCCCGCCCCACGCCGACGTCCCCTCCGCGCCCCGCCCCCGGCCGGACGTACTCTGGCTGGAACCTCTGCATGTTCGCAGGGCGGATGCGATGGGACGTAAGCACCTCTGTCCTTTGGTTATTCTGATTAAAATACCAAAGTGTCAGAGCTTTTGTCCCTCAATGTCACATAAGATTACAGTAATCATATCTGACATTTATGTGCTAAGCACTGAGCCCTGCACTTGGTTTGTACTATCTCATGATTTCTTGCAACCCCGTGAGAGAGGCGCTGTTGAGGATCCCCGTTTAAAAACAAACGCTTTTTATTTTAGAATAGTTGTAGTTGTGCAGAAAAGTTGCAAAGATGACACCTAGAGTTCCTGTCTCCTCACCTAGTTTCTCCTAGTATGAACATCTTAATTATTTTACTATGGTACGTTGATCACATCCAATAAACCAGTTTGATTGGTGCATTATTACTCACTAAACTACACATTTATTCACATTTACCAGCTTTCTTTCAATGTCCTTTCTTTGTTATTGTTCCAGGATCCTGTCCAGGACACCACATTGCATTTATTCATGATGTCTTCTTATGCTCTTTTTGGCTGTGGCAGTTTCTCAGATTCTCCTTGTTTTTGATGACCTTGACAGTTTTGAAGAGTTACTTCTCGGATATTTGGTGGAATGTGCCTCAATTTGGGTTTGGCCAATGTTTTTCACATGGTTAGACTGGGGTTTTGGGTGTTTAGGAGGAAGACCACAAGGTTACTGGCTATTCTCATCACATAGAATCAAAGGTACCTGCTCTCAAAATGACATCACTGATCATGTTAACCTTGATTACCTTTCTAAGGTAGTGCTTGCCAGTTTTCTCCGCTATGAAGTTACTCCTCCTACCCTTCCACACTACTTTGGAACCAAGTCAATAAATGCAACCCACATTCAAGGTGGGAAGGTGGGGTATTTAAGCTCAACCTCCTGCAGTGGGGAGTATGTACATAAATTATCTTCCCCCAGGGAAATTTGCCTCTTCTCCCTCATTTAGCTATTTGTATCAGTATGGACTCATGGATGTTTATCTTATACTGGTTACATTCCAATACTACATTATTTTGTTGCTAAAACTGTCCCAGCTTTGTTAATTGGGAGATTTTTCAGGTTTATACCTGTTTTTTTCTTTTTTTAAAAAAACTTTTGTTTTAAACTTTCTTCTAAAAAAGTATTTGTTTTTGGCCAGGCGCGGCGGCTCATGCCTGCAATCCCAGCACTCTGGGAGACCAAGACCAGTGGATCACTTGAGGTCAGGAGTTCGTGACCAGCCTGCCCAACATGGTGAAACCCGGTCTCTACTAAAAATACAAAAATTAGCCGGGCGTGGTGGTGTGCATCTGTAATCCCAGCTACTTGGAAGGCTGAAGCAGGAGAATCGCTTGAACCCAGGAGGCGGCGATTGCAGTGGGCCAAGATCGCCCCACTGCACTCCAGCCTGGGCAATAGAGTGAGACTCTGTCTCAAAAAAAAAAAAAAAGGTATTTGTTTTTTCTTAAACTTTTAAATTCAGGCTAACATACACAAAGAAAAGTGCATGAATCATAAGTACAGCTTATTGACTTTTCATCAACTTAACGAATACATGTAACTAGCACCCAGAGAAAGGACAGAGCTTTACCTGTACCTGGGAGTTCCCCTCATGCCTCTTCCCATCTCTCCACAAAGATAATCATTATGCTGACATTTAACACTATGGATTAGTTTCACCTGCTTTTACACTTAATGAATACACATTATACAATATATGTTTTAGGATCTAGCTTCTTTTGCTTGATAGTATGAGATTCATTCACATTGTTGAGTGAGGTTGTATTTGTTTCTCATTGTTACATATATTATTATGTTACATTATGTGACTGTTCCTTAATTTATGTATTCATTTTGTTGTTGGGCATTTGGATATTATATCTATTTCAAATATGGCCAATATGAATACTCTAGTATGACTTTTGATGAATATGTGCCCACCATAAAAAGGCATACCTGGCCGGGTGCGGTGGCTCACTCCTGTAATCCCAGCACTATGGGAGGCCGAGGCAGGCAGATTACCTGAGGTTAGGAGTTTGAGACTAACCTGGTCAACATGGTGAAACCCCACCTCTACTCAAAAAAAATACAAAAATTAACTGGACAGTGTGACGGGTGCCTGTAATTCCAGCTACTTGGGAGGCTGAGGCAGAAGAATTGCTTGAACCCGGCAGGTGGAGGTTGCAGTGAGCTGAGGTCGTGCCATTGCACTGCAGCCTGGCCAGCAAAAGCAAAACTCCATCTCAAAAATAAATATATACATAATAATAAATAAATAATTAAAAATAATAAAAATGCACACCTGAAGTGTAGTAGGGAGCCTCTTAATGAGAAGGAATTAGGAGGAACTTCCTATAGAATTTGGGCTTATGCTAACGGGATTGGGAAAGTAGGAGGCCAAATTTGAATTGGATGCTGTCAGGAAACAGGCAATTCAGTCTTGGTTTTATCTAAACAGAAGGAGGAACAAAGCAAGCTACAGCTGTCACTGGTAAAAAAAACAAACAAACAAAAAAAACAGGCCGGGCTTGGTGGCTCACGCCTGTAATCCCAGCACTTTGGGAGGCCGAGGCGGGCGGATCACAAGGTCAGGAGATCAAGACCACAGTGAAACCCCATCTCTACTAAAAAATACAAAAAATTAGCCGGGCGCTATGGCGGGCGCCTGTAGTCCCAGCTACTCAGGAGGCTGAGGCAGGAGAATGGCGTGAACCCGGGAGGCGGAGCTTGCAGTGAGCCTAGATTGCGCCACTGCACTCCAGCCTGCGGGACAGAGCAAGACTCTTTCTCAACAACAACAAAAAAACCCAGAATTACTCATATTGGAAGAAGGGGATGTTTTCTCATTTTTATGGTTGTTGAGGGCCTTGTTTCTGTCTTGTCCAAAACATGATCATGGTGAAACTGTCTATGGACATTGTTCATATTCTGTGAGTGCTGTTTGTGTCCAGTTGGGAACATTCTACTAACAGAACTTTTTTTTTTTTTTTTTTTTCCTTAGTCCCCCTTTCACTTTCTCACATGTGGTCACATGTATGTTGGTTTTTGTCCCCCATTTCATAGATAGGGAAACTGATGCACAGATGTTAATCCACTTTCCCAAGCCACCAGACTGGTAAATGGCTATTACCTTAACCACTACATTCTAGACTCTAGGATTTGCTATTATATTGAAGATATTTGGGCTCTCTTCCCTCCACTTTCAATATCAGCAGCTTTCCCTTTTATCACAGTCAGGCTGACATCAATGACAGAGAATTAATTCAGGAGTGGGAGTTGGAAAAACTCAGTAGGACTTTGCTCTGTCATAAACTATGGTGAGTCACTTTGCCTCTAGCTAATAATGATACCACTATCCATTCACAGTACTTTAGACTGTATGTGGTTGGTAGGTTTGTTTGTGTGTTTTGAGACAGGTTTCACTCCGTTACCCAGGCCGTAGTGCAGTGGTGTAATCATGGCTCACTCCAGCCTCTAACTCTCAGTTTCAGGTGATTCTCCCACCTTAGCCTCCCAAGTAGCTGGGACTACAGGTGCACACCACCATGCCTGACTAATTTTTTGTATTTTTGTTATTTTTAATTTTTTTATTTTTAAAATATTTATTTATTTATTTATTTATTTTGAGATGGAATTTCTCTCTTGTCATCCAGGCTGGAGTGCAATGGCATGATCTTGGCTCACTGCAACTGTCTCCTGGGTTCAAGCAATTTTCCTGCCTTAGCCTCCCGAGTAGCTGGGATTACAGGTGCAAGCCACAATGCCTGGCTAATTTTTGTTGTTTTGGTTCACCACATTGGCCAGGCTGGTGTCGAACTCCTGACATGAGGTGAACCACCCACCTCAGCCTCTCAAAGAGCTAGGATTACAGACATGAGCCACCTCGCCTGGCCTAATTTTTTGTATTTTTGGTAGAGACCGGGTTTTGCCATGTTGCCCAGGCTGTTCTCAAACTCCTGGGCTCAAGGGATACACCCACCTCGGCCTCCCAAAGTGCTGGGATTATAGGTGTTAGCCACCGTGCCTGGCCTATATGTGATTCTTACTGCTTGTGGAAGACTGCCTCCAGAGAATCATATAATATGTGACCTTTTACGTCTAGCTTCTTGGTTGACAACTCTTACCATCCCAATATGCACATGCTGCTCCTCCCACCCATCAGGAGATTGAGTCAAACCCAATGTATAGCATGGTGACTATAGTTAATAATAATATATTGTAAGGTTGGGTGTGGTGATTTACACCTATAATCCCAGCACTTTGGGAAACTGAGGCAGGTGGATCACTTGAGCCCAGGAGTTTGAGACCAGTCTGGGAAACATAGTGAAACCCAGTCTCTACAAAAAATACAAAAATTAGCCAGATGTGGTGGCACGCACCTGTAGTCCCAGCCACTTGGGAGGCTGAGGTGGGAGGATTGCTTGAGCCTAGGAGGCAGAGGTTGCACTCCAGCCTGGGCAACAAAGCAAGATCCTGTCTCAATAATAATAATAATAATAATGTATATGTGGAGTCTTCAAAAAGCTCATGGAAAATATGTATTATGAAAAAACTATGCATGGATTTCAAACTCTTTTTGCACCAAAATAAACTCATACTAACTTATTATAACATGTCAAAATAGGATCCAGTTTGAGGCACTAAGAAAGATAAGACATCAGTTTGAAAAGAGCCCCTTTCAGAGCAATATGAATTCTGCTAAAATTGAAGCAAGAACAAACACCAAATTTATGATAAAGCTTGGATGGAAGAATGGTGAAATAATTTATCCTTTATAAAAGGTTTAGGCCGGGCGCGGTGGCTCAAGCCTGTAATCCCAGCACTTTGGGAGGCCGAGACGGGCGGATCACGAGGTCAGGAGATCGAGACCATCCTGGCTAACACGGTGAAACCCCGTCTCTACTAAAAAATACAGAAAACTAGCC